CACCACGGCGGCCTGAGCGACTTGCTCAGCAACCTGGGCCTTCACCTCGACAGTTATCCCTGCCTGCAAAGAGCGATAGCGCCTCAATAAACCAAGAAAAATCAACATAGAAGAAAAGTTAAAGAAAACAAGACACCTACCTCGGCAGAGGGGGCGACTTGCTCAGCAGTCTGCGCGGAAGCCATTTGGGGAGCCCCTTCAGGCGGTGGACTCCCGGTGAGGTCCACCGCCTCAGCATCAGCAGCCTTGGAGGTCACCTCCTTGGCATCTGGAGGGGCAGAGTTTCCCCCGACCTCCTTCTCGGCCCTCTTTCTTTTTCTGTTTGTTTTCAGAGGGGCGACCTCCTCCTCCCGAGGCTCAGGGACCTCGATCTCAGCAACATTGTAGCGGTGCTTCAGCTCACGCCACTTGTTCTTTCCCATTATGCCTGCAAACACAAAAAATAAAACACATCAGCAAAAGAAGGTTTCATAAACCCTAACAACCTAAGGAAAACGGAGTACTCACTCTCTAAGCCCCTCTCCTTGTATGCCGAGTTCGCAAGCGACAGGACGAGCTTGCAATCCAACGGACGAGGAAGCGCTGCAAGGTTCTCAATGGTAGCCGCCTCCGAAGCCGTCAATTTCAATTGGCCCACCCCATGAAACCTAGACGGTTTGGGGCACCAATAGAAAGGGAACTTCGGCAACCCGCCAAAGTAGAACGCCCCATCCTCCAACGGGTCGACATCCACAAGGGCAACCCGGAAAAACTCTTGTTTAAAATTTTTGCATGACTGGGAGTAAAGAGTGAATAAACCCCCATCCCTACTCCCACTCAGAGACAGTATGCCATAAGGCGGAACACCTATCTTCAGCTGATAAAAATGAAGAAAGACGGGAAGAGACACCTCTATCCCTAGAGCTGAACACAAGACTTGAAAAGCCCGCAAAAAACCCCAACTATTTGGGTGCAACTGGCAAGGAACCAAGTTGATAAAATTCAAAAAATCACACTCGAATTGAGTGAAAGGAAGGAAGACGCCTAAATCCCTAAAGAAACACAAGAAGACATAGAAATGGGGGGGTCTGTAGACTCCCCCATGTACACACCCTCACCGGCTTGACAAGGTTCAAGCCGGATCATTCGGGAAAGGGAACGGTCACAAATTTTGTGCGATTTCCAAACCGCATTGACCTCAAGGAAAGACCTAAACACACTTTGGGTCTCCCCCACTTCGTGCTTGACCCAATCGTGGCTAGGAATGCCTGGAACGTGGTCCTTAGGCAGGTTCACCACCTTCTTCTTCTCGGCGGCAACCGTTCCGGTAGCCACCGCCTCGCCCCGCACCTTACCTTTGCCCTTGGCAGGCGCGGAAGATCCGGCACCACTCTCTCCAGCCATCAAGAAAACAAGAAAGACTCGAAGAAGGAGAAGATTGGAGAGAGAAGAGAGAACAGAGTAATCGAAGTACCTGGTACTCCTGTCATAAACGAAAGAATGGTAATGAAAGAGCACAACCCAGTTGCCGAAAACGGCGACGAAAACAGAGAAGACAAAGATGAAAGATTAACAGAAGCGAGGAAGATAGCGTGCGTAGGAAGCTGAAAGGGCGAAAAAGGGTAAAGTGAATGAGAAAGGGCGCGAGAGGGAGAAAAAAGGGGTTTTCCAAAATTCGAACGACCACAACACGTGTCAGCCAGGGAGCATAACTGACGACACACTTAATGACCCCCATTATGACGAGCACCAGTCATAATTGCATAACCGTCACCCTCACTCACGCGCCGCCTGCACGTTTTCAAAAATGAGGCGACAATTGCAACACATGGCACCTTGACAGGCAAGCATACACGAAGGGTCACAGCCACTTAACGAGCTCGGTCTTAACTCCTCGACCTACGATCTTCGGAGCTCGGGGGCTCGTGTACTATCCGTACTGCTATGCCAAGCTCAAGCTAGGCATAACAGCGCAGGACAACCTCGGATATGCGCTGGGAAGATCTCAGCCTAGCCGAGATCCGCTATCTAATCAGATCATAACTGATCTCAGGCCCAAGGCCCAACGCAACCCTAATTCACACCAAGGTACGTGCATTACTTATACGAGACTCATACTCATACAAACCCTAACTTTGGCATCGGAGTCTCTTTTGCAGGTACCACCCCTATCTTGGAGCATCAACGTACCAGCGAAGGAGGCTCACTCATCTTACCCAGCGAATCATCTCTATAGTAGATCTCCGGTAAGAACAGAATCTTTTAAAAAATGACTTCTTCCTTTGATCAAATTGTCAAGATGTTTAATTGCATTCTACACCAAGTGTCATGTACATAAACCATGGCGTGTCTTAGGCATCATTTTAGTAAGTGCTTTAGCCACTGTTTGGTCTTGGCCTATGAAAATAGTTTGAGGTTTTTTTTTTTTTTTTTAATAACAATGTGCTTGCAAGAATGTCTCAAATACCCATATAAAAGATTCAACTGATTCATCATACAACAAAGTTGCACCAAAGATCACCAAACTCCTATAATGGTTAAAACTTGAAAACAATGCAAGTGACCTATTAGCTTGATTAAAACAATAAGTAGTATCTAAAGAGACATCTCTAAAATACCTGTAATCCAACACCATTTTCACATATGCCCAAAATGCATTTATGATTTGCTCATCAACATCCAATTGGTATGGATGGAAGAATGAAGAGTTCTATAATAATTGTTGTTGAAAATACTTCATTAGACAACCAGCTTCCGTTTGCGCCATACCATTTTGTCTTTTTTGCATTGAGATAATTTCACTCTTTTTTTTTTTTTTTTTCATCTAACTGATATATTCAACATTAACTTTGTGCCCACATGTATGTTTATAAGTTGAAAAGATGCCTTTTGGCACAATCCCGAGTCATCGACTAAAATAATCTCATAAGTTTTAACATCTTTTACTTTATGGTGCAAAGCAAACATGTGCCTTGTCTTTGGAAGTTTTAATGGTGATTATGGTCTTCTACAAATTCATATATCACATATTTACCACTCTTCCCCAATGATAACCCAACTCTAACATGACAATTAGTTTTGGTCTAGACTCTATGTTTGATAACTTTTCTATCTCTTTTATTAGACTTTTAAAATCTCTCCTTACTGCAATCATATTTACTTGTGATCATAGCATCATCTTCCTTTTGCTTGTTTTCAATTTGTCTCCTAACTTCAAAACCTACTTTGTTTTTATTTTATTTAATTTTATTTATTTATTTATTTTTATCATATTCCTTCCAAAATTCCCATGGTTCCTTTACGTCTTCAAACTCTAAACTAATTTTTTTGGCTTCCAATCAAGATTTGCAAAAGTCATTGTTAATATCCTATTCAAAATAAAAAAAAAACAATATTATATTAATAATTATTAAAATTCATATCCTTCGTTATAACGCACAAGATTTGGTATAAAACCTTACCCAACCACCTCAACTTTCTTTTTGCGTGTAACCACCTTAATTCAAGATTTTTTTATATTTTAAAATTAGTCTCTAAAGATAAAACATGTTGACTACTATATATATATATAACGCTAGTCAGTCAAAAAATATAAAAAAGAACGGGTCTTAACGTATTTTACTTTTAAAGAGACTAACTTAATGGAAAAAAAATAAAAATTGAAAGACAAAAAATGAATTTAAAAAACTGTAAAGGAACTCAATTCTTTTGTATTTGTAAATCTTAACTTCTAATTTGCAATCTGGCCCAAATTTGAGTCACCTGGTGTCCTAGCTATATAATCTTCAATATATTTGCAACATGTTTGGAAAAGTGATTTCTAAAATTTCAGTTGTTTTTATCGAAAAAAGCTATGTTTAGAAAAACCTTTATGTTTGAGAAAAATAAAGTAAGTTAAATTAATAAGCAATTTTTTTTCTTCTGAAAAATAAGCTGTTTTCAAGAATCTAAAAATTTAAAATTTAAAATTATTTTTCAAAAAGTGTTTTATTCTTCTGAAACTGATTTACTATACAAAAACTGAGTTTTTATTGTACCAAAATAAAATTAAACATTCAAAAATTATTTTTTAGTCAATTTATCTAATTTTTTTATTATAATTATAATCAATTACACAACTATTGAAATGATATAATTTTTATCTTTTTTCAAACCATACCTTTATTTCGAAAAATTTAATTGGATCGGGCTTTTATTTGAGACGCAAATCTTATTGGGCCCACCCAGAAGGAAAGGAGGATCATGATATACACACTTTTTTTATTTTTATTTTATTTTATTTTTTTATTTTTTATAAGCATATTCCTTTTTTTTAAATAATTAATTTTTTTAAATATTCTTAATTTTTTCTTTTTTTAAAATTTTACACTCCTAATATTTAATTTAATACTTTTTTTACATACCTCTTTTCTTTATTTTCACATGCACATCTTTAATTTTTCTTCACCCTCACCTATTTTGATAGATAATTTTAATTCTTTTAGTTTTACATTATTCTTTTTTCCCTTTCTTTTTCAGTTTTCTCACTAATTTTCACTATCTGCATACTACTCTAAAATAGTGAAATTTTTTTTATAACACTAATGCTAAGGTTTTTGGAGGGGTGAAAGGAAAGAAAGTGTTAGAAGAAAGAATGTCTTTAATTTAGTAGAAACGGTTGAGAAAGCTACACATACCTATAATATTGTCGCTTACCAATTCTATGATTTAGGTGCATGTGAAAAAGTGAAATATGTGAAAAAATAAAAGAGTAATATAAAAATTGAGAAAACTAAAATAACTCACTAAAATAGGTGAAGAATTAGAAGAAGACAAGAGGGTACATCTGAAAACTAGAAAAAGAGAGGGAAGGGGGTGTGTGAAAAGAAAAAAATAGTAAATTAAAAGTTAGAAATATAAAATTAAAAATTTTAAAAATAAAAAAATTATGAATATTTTAATTTTTTTTTTTAAAAAAAAAGGTGTACTTATCATTAGCCTGGGAAGGATTATCCGTGGGCTTCATGGGCCCAAAGTAGGTATTTTCATTCATGATCTGGGCGCATAGGCCCATTGTGACTCATGTTCACCATGGATGAATCACCGGCGAACAGGGAGAGCAAAAACGGTGCACAAGGAAACGAAGAGCAAGAAGATGATGACTACATGGGTGACCTTTCTCGCTTTCTTCCTTCCGTGGCTCTTGACCCTCCCAAATCCTCTTCGTCCAAAAAGGTGACTTCTTTATTCCTTCCCCGTTTCACCCTCCTCCCTCGTCGTTTTGATTCTGCCGCGGCTTTTGAGGGAGCAAGCGATGCATGAACTTTACTTCAGCCAGTGATGTATTTGAATAAAATTGGGTGTTCAAGCTTCGCCTTCTCCCATGCCCCTCTAGTTGCATCGCATGATTTGCAATTTGGTCTTGAAATTTATGATTAAATTCTGAAATTATGGACGGTGCTTGTTGAAATCTCTGTTGCATGTATCGTTAGTCTGTTTTGCTTACAATCCCTTTGGTTCCTTAGAATCTTAAAATAAGAACTTGCTTACATAGAAGAAGTATTTTAGCAATTTATAATTTGGGTGTTTATTTAGTTTCTTAAAAAAAGGTTGTTAAAATAGTTATAAAAAATAAGTGGATGTAGATTTTTATTTATTTATTATTTTATATATATATATATATATATATATATATATATATAGTAGATATAGATTAGCAAAATTGATGTATTTTTGTTGTTTTGTGTTTTGTTTTTGTACCAACGATATTCTCCAACTGATTGTCGGAGACTAATTCTTTCGAGGTTTAAAGATCATGGGAGTAAGTTTTGACTCTCTCAACAAAACCCTGATGCCTAAGGGACTTAGCTATCTAACTGTGACGAGCCTTGTTGGTAGCAAAATCGATGAACGTGCGTGTGTTTTCTTTTCCCACTTTATATCATCCTGCACTAGTCCATGGACAGCAATTCTGTTTTTTTTTTTTTGTTTTTTTTTTTTTAAGACTTTAGAGGTAAATATTTAGTCCCCCAAAGGTACACTCGATTTCATAAGCTTTCTTTGAAGAGTTTGAATAAAAGTTTATCTAGATATACATGCATTAAGGGATCAAATTGGTGTTCAAAGTTACATCAAGGAGATAACTGGATGTACATTTTAAACTTTGAGAGAACAGACGTGAGTATTTAGTCAAAGTTATTGCCAGATGCATAATTTTCCTTAGCCTTTCGTTTTACAATTTATTAGTACGATAAAAAGTGATTATAACTCCATTTATGGCATGCAGATTTCTGGCAAGAAAGATCCTCCAGTCAACTCTTCAAAGAGCTGGTTGAAAACTCTTAGCTGGCAAGAGCGGCGAAAACTTGAGAAAGAAAAGAAGCAACAAGAAGAGGATGAGGAAACATTAGCTAAAGTGGAAGCTCCAATACCACAATCCAACATTGGGTTTAAGCTTCTCAAACAGATGGGTTACATTCCAGGTTCTTCCCTTGGCAAACAGGGCTCAGGAAGGGCCGAACCAGTGGGGCTTGAAATTCGACGATCACGAGCTGGTGTAGGTTTAGAAGATCCCCACAAGGAGAAGAGGAAAAAGGAGGAAATCATGATGGTCACGAAAAGGAGGAAAGAGGAGGACTTAATGAAAGAATTTGGGTCAAGGCAGAAGTCACAGTGGCAGAGTAGAAGAGTTATAATTAATTATAATAAGGCAAAGGCTGCCCTTGACCAATTGGAGAATAGGGAAATTGTGGAGCCACAAAAGAATGAGGATGATGAAGAGGGTGAAGAAGAAGAAGAAGAGGAAGAAATAACAGAAGAGGTGTGTAAAATAACCATATCTAGTTCACTTATATTTCTTTCGACCTAGTTTTTAGTATTCGTTTAAATTGCATGCCCAAATTAGTCTGGAAACTGCATACTTGTTAGTCTTTTCTCTTTAGGTGGGGTCTGCTACATGAGTCAAACAACACCATAATGGCCTACCATAAATTATGTCTATAGACAAACTGTTTAGCTTTAAAATTTTCTTAATTATTTATCCCATAGTATCTTTTACTGCATTAAAAAATTATTGTAATTCATTTCTTATTTTTTTAAGCTTATTATTGTTGAACTTAGTTAATCTATGTTTGCATTGGTTAACTTTGATGGTGTTGGTGTTGGAATGTAACTGATGCAGGAATTGCACTATGTTTTGATGAAACTGAGAGATGAATTTAATTATTGCCTCTTTTGTGGATGCCAAGTGAGTAAACTCTTTACTTACTTCTAAGTAGTCAGTAAAAGTTCATTTTAATATACTTTTATAAGATGAAATAGCAAATCCAGTATGGTTGACAAATAAGAAGCCTCTGACTTTGATTGTAATTTTTTTCCTTCTTCCTTAATTGTTTAGTATGAATCAAGGGATGCCCTTTTGGCCGACTGCCCTGGAACCAATGAAGATGACCACTAAATTGAAGATTTCTGATGTAAACAGTGGACATTATCAGATTTGTTGTGCTTGTCAAGCAATTGCTGTAAGCTTTTAATGCTTATTCAAATGGAGTTGGATATGCTAGCATCTGGTGGATGATTGGACTTAAGGCGCTTCTTGTGCCAATATACAAATGAATTGTGTTTATGCTCTCATTACAATTCGGCTAGGAGGTTGCATCATCTTCATCCATGCCAAGGGACAACATGCCCTGCCCTATTACAGGAAATAAATTGTTGATATACAGTTTGTGAAACTTTTCAGTTATTGGAAAATTTCACAGTAATTTACTCGGTCATGTTTTAAAATTTATACGGTGTGTATTTAAAAAGTTTGTGACCTTCCATTCTTAACTGAACTTAACATGGGTGTTACACCAAAATTTTAGCTAATTTCAACCAGATATATTGATAGTAATTGTAGAAATGAATCATCTATTGAAGAATTAATTACATAAACTCATTCAGTCAAAATTTATGGTGAACTTTCTTTTGATTTTTGGTTGCGGAGTATTTTCCTTTTAAAATTACAATAAAATTTTAAATTCATATAAATTTATGAGCCAAGATCTGGGATGTAATTTTTTTGGTTTTAAGGTTGGAGGAGTGGTTGAGACATTTCTTTTACAATATGACAATTATATATTACTTATTGGTAATGCTTCTATGAATAATTTGTGATTGTTAAAGGTTGTTGGCAGAGGTTTTGACTTTTGAGCTTGTGGCAGCACAGTGCTTGTATCAATTTGAAGGTAAATTTTCATTAGAGTAATGTTATTGGTATTAACGTAGATGATCAGTTTTTGGTGGCAGCTTCTTATTACAATATTAATGGGATTCTTTTTAAATTCCTGGGTTTGCCTATAGGTGCAAATCCAAGGAAAGTGGCTACTTGAAAGTCTATCATGGATTCATTTGAATAGTTGACTTGCTGCTTGGAAGGGTAAGTATCTTTCTTTGGGAGGTTATAATGTTATTATGCTGAATTCGGTACTGTCTAGTTTACCTCTATTTTATTTTATCTTTTTTTAAAATCTTGGAAAAAAGTGTCAATTTTTCTTATTATCCAATGATTTTTTCTGTGGAGGTGGAGGTGGAGGTGGAGGTGATGATGTTCAAAATAATGTATGGTTAGTTGGGATAAGGTGTGTTAGTATAAATGCCTTAACATCTTGACCTCTTGAATCCATGCCTTATCAACAAGTGGAAATGACAGATCAACAATGTTTATTATTCAACTGGAGTATTTAAGTTCTTGGTTCACCCTCCTTAACAGCTAGCCTTTAAAGGAGGGTTTGCCAGTTTTTATCAGTTTATCTGAAAAAAAATGCTGTATGGTATAATCTTCTTATAAACCAATATATGGTTTGTTGGATAGAATGATTCCAAATAGATGGAACGCAATCTGCATTTGTGTTGTGCAGAGACTTTATTATGGAATGTGTTGCTCCCTTATGGTTCTCTGTGGGAGGGGTGTGATTGGGGGGAAAACTAAAGTTTGGCACGATTCTAGGACTGTTGTCTCTACGATTAAATACACCTTCCGTAGATTATATTAAATTTTAGAGGATAAACATGCATTTATAGCAGGTATGGGGGCAGCGGAGTAACAAGGGGTGGAGTCGGATTTGGAGATAACATGCGAAGTTGTTTGGTAAGGAAGAAGTCTTGTTTTTTGAGTTTAAAAATTTGATCAGTTCTATGTGAGAGTGCATTTTTTTATGTAATAGTCGGAGGAGTAAATGTTTGACCATTAGATCACATTTTGAATGGTTAAGATTAAAATATAAGTCATGTGATATATTTAAAAAGTCACATGACTTTTTTTAAAGTAGTTAAATAACATTAAATTTTGATTACTCAAGTAATACCAATAAAACTATACAATAAATTCTAAAATTAAAATAAAAAAATAAGATCAATAAGGTCCATTAAGTCCAAAATCGGGCCCATTAAGGCCTAAACCCAAAAGCCCTAATCTAGAATGCTAAAAATATGATATCTATAACATATATATATATATATATTAAAATTATTAATTTATTAATAGGAGAGACTAAAATCGCATAATTATGATATTTGAAGGACTAAAATTATTCAATTAAAAATT